AATTTTATAATATTTATATATTCCTATCTATAATAAATAAGATCCCAAATTTTTATAAATTGAAATTTATTTTCTTTTGCTACACTTTTAATACTAATATAAATTAATCGGTACCACTTTTCTTGTAGAGTCTAAACTTGATGTAATTATTTTTTTTTATTTCAATTAAATAGACATATAGAATTAGAATAACAAAATTTCCATCAATTTTAGAAGTTATCGAGATCGAGATATCTTTGCTCAATTTTGAAAAAAAATTTGCTGCAGCTTTGTTTTGATAGTTATTCAAGTTGAGCGAAGATTCCTTAACAAACACCTAACTAAAATCAATAAAATTTTTTTTTATTCTGATTCCTTATATCTATATTATTAAAGTAAAAAAAAAAAATTACACCGAATTTAGATAGTGGTTGTCGAGATATCCTTATTAGAAGTTTGAAAAAATTAATTAATGATTGATTAATTTTGTCAATCATAACGTGACGGTTCAAGTAGAATCTAACTTAAGTGACAATCATATGTATTAAAAATTTTTAAATGAGCTTTAACTAAATTTGGCAATATTAAAATTTGTAAAACTAGTTATTAATATAATAAATGCTATCGATAAAAAAAGTGTGATATAAAAATTATGTTTCTTTCAAAAAGTGTACTTTTAGTTATGTTTAAAAAATGATTACAATATCTTATATGTAAATAAAGAAAGTTAATTTTATCGACATTATTAAAAAATCTTCCTAATTATAGTTTGATTTACTTCACACTTGCTCACATGATACATGGTTTACCAAAATGCAAGCCTTCATATCTCTTTTATTAATTACTTATATTATTTTTTGACATCTTTTTTATACGAAGCCCTTTCTATTAGTAAAATTTAAAAGATTTACCATTTTGAATAGCATGATTTGAATGTTATTCAAACTGCTTTTTGAATTGCCATTCAACACTATCACATGATTTCACAAAAATTTATGTTTATGAAGTCGTTAAATTGTATTCGAATTGTGCCATTCAACATAGTGAATCTTTTAATTTTACCATATTCTCAGCTCTTAGTTTTACTAGTTATTGGCAAATTTCCAAGCCTCAAAAATCCTCCAAGCCAACAACTTCATTTAACTAGTTCTATAGTCAAGTTCCAAATCTCTAGACGAGTTCTGGTAGTTAAACAGCTAATAGTAGATTAAGACCAAGTCTAAGATATAAAAAAAAATAGTTATATATTTAGAATACTTGTCCAAGTCACATTTACACCTCAGTTAAAGCCTAAATTATATTGTAATTTTTTTTTAAAAATAAATATTTCATGGAAAGTTATATGATCGAACTTGTTTATATTCTTTATAAATGCATACTCTCTATAATTGCACCCTATGTCTCGGTTACAACTAATAATAACACATTACAATGATTGTTTTGCTATAACTCATTTTTTTTGCATGTTAAATTTCATGAAGTCAAAATTGTATAAAAATTGTAATTTTCATGACGAATTTTTTTTTTAAAAAAAATTATAATTTTAGCTTGCTGATTTTTTTTTTTTAAAAAAAAATTAGTAATTTTAGCATGACGATTTTTTTAAAAAAAATTGTAATTTTTTGTGCCGAATTTAATTTTTCTAAAAAAATTGTAATTATCATTAAAATTTTTTTTAAAAAAATTGTAATTTGTAATTTTAGCATAACGAATTTTTTTTTAAAAAAATTGTATTTTTTGCATGATGATTTTTTTTATTGTAATTTTTCATGATGAATTTTTTATTAAAAAACAAATGTAATTTTAGCATGACTAATTTTTTTTTTAAAAAAATTGTAATTTTAGCATGACGATTTTTTTTTAAAAAAAAAATTGTAATTTTTCATGACAAAAGTTTTGGAATATTTTTTTTTATAAAAGAAAAACTTTTTGAACTTTTTGTATTTGGAATTTTTTCTTTATAAAAGAAAAAATTTTTGTATCTTTAGCATATAAATTTTTTTAGAAAAAAATTACTTTCGAAAAAATATTTCCAAAAAAAAGAAAAGCTGATACTCAAGATAAAGCATCCACCTCAAACACACCATGACAATCACAATCTTCACCATACCCCGTTCAACAATCGCAAACCTCTGTTCAACAATCACATTCCAAATTTTGAGAATTATGTTCCAAATCTCGAGAATTACATCTCATCCAATCCGATCCACCAAACCCAATCATCTAACCAATCCCCATCCAACTAAACCCAATCATCCAACCTGTTACATCGATTCCATCCATCCAACCTCACCAATTCTATTTTCAACCCATCCTATCCTTTCCACCCATTCATCAATACCAATACCAAAGTCCACCTATTCCTAGTATAATTTTATTAACATCTATAAAAGAATCAAGATTTTATTAACTTCATAGCAACGATATTGTAATGATATTGTCACTATGAAGTTAATAAAATCTTGATTTAGATTTTTATTACCTTTAAAATTGTTTTATTTATAGCTTTTAGTAACTTCATAGCAACGATATCGTTACGATATCATTGCTATAAAGTTACTAAAAGTTTGATTTAAAATTTTTATTAAATTTATTTTATTTATAATTTTTTTTTTTTTTTTTATAAATTAAGATCTTAATACGACATTAAACTACCTCGAACATCATCTTAATGGTGATCGCTCTGCAATACTTGCCGCACTATGAAATCGTTTTGGTCTACTTAATAATGATCTAGTAAATGATGGTGTCAATGCTATGATGACAGTTATCTTCCCGAATACATCGAGAAGATCTAGATCAGCGACTCCTATTTTATCACGATTATCAAGTGCTGAAAACTTGAAGTTTTTGGCTGAAAACTTCAAGTTTTTGGCACTTGATGATTGGTCTTCACCACCACCACCTTTGGTTGAGCCTCATGACGACTATAAATATGAGTTGCACAAGGATAGCTTGACCCTTCCCCTGGCATTTTACGAAAATGGGAGATTCTCATTTGTTCCTCGTCATTCTCATGACGTACCTGCGTCATTCACAAAAAATGGAAAAACTGTAACTTCAACAAAATTATGTGATGACTATGCAGCCTATAAGGTAATAGTTATTTATTTAATAATATTTTGGTTAGAGAACCAGACTCCTGTGATTTTAGAAACTTTTCATTGTTCAAACAATGAAAAATTCCTAAAATCACAGGAGTTTGGTTACTCTAATAGATAGTAATAAGGTTAAATAGTTGTTATATAATTTTGTTTTTTGTGCATTATATTAGCATCATTACTATTTATAGTTAACGTTAATGTTATTTAATAACGATAATGAATTATTACTAAATATGGTAACTTTTTTTTTATTATATAATTTAGGAGTTTCCAAAATGGGTTGCTGAACTTTTTGAAACAAATTGTATGCGTTGTTTATTCGTTGCAGAAATCTCGATGATGCAAAATCGAATATGATAATCAAGAAATTCATTAAAATTTTGGTTCCTGAAATAGGGGACCAAAATTTTAATGATGCGGCATTAAAATTTCAGTCTACCTTTATTGAGTGGTGGCACGTTCTTTGGCTTAAAATAAATAAGTTATATGATATTTTGTATTCTAGGACAAAAAGGTAATATAATTATTAATTATTAATTATTAATATTGTTTTATTATTTTTTTTTAATACTAATATTAATGTTTATTGTTTAGTTATGAAATAAATACCCTTTTTGCGAAATTAACTGCAAATGATGTACAAAAAGTGTGGCAACAATTTCTTGTTAATATTGACATCGAAGCAATTCATGGTGAGTCTAACAGCTCAAATGATTTTGAACTATCACTTCTTAATATAGTACGTGTTGGTATCTGGGTGGTAAATTTTTATGATTCTAAAGATGCATAATTGTTATTTTTTAATTTAAATAATGATTTATATATGGTCAATTTAAATGTTTTAACTATTAATGGTTGAAATGTTGCAACATTTATCGACTTAAGTCGATACACTTTTCATAGTCCCAAGAGTGCCGATTTTAAATAATTTTTTTTTTCTTTGATAGTTTTTTTTTTCGCTTTGTTTTTTTTTTTTTGTTTTTTTCTTTGGTTTGTTTTTGTTTTTTTATTTTCTGTTTTTTTTTTTCTTTTTTCGTAGTTTGCAAAAAAATAAGTAAAATTAATTAAATGATTTTTTTTTGTTTTTTTAATGCTTTTTATTAAAAATTTTGAATGTATCGTATAACATATTAATTATTAATTGAAGATTAACCAAATCTTGAGACTTTTATTAAAATGTTTTATATTATTTGCTAATTAATTAGTTCTAGATATTTAAGTAAAAATGGTTTGTCCCAAAAACTTTTACAAACACTAACTCATGAAAAAATTTTTAACATAATAATACGATAGGTGCAAAACACCATAATTTGTATTTTATAATAAATGAATCTTTATTATTAAAAAATTGTAATAAAATTTTAACCAAATCATTAAAGTTTTATTTATAATAAATGAATCTTTATTATTAAAAAATTGTGATAAAATCTTGACCAAATCGTTAAGGTTTTATTTTATAATAAATGAATCTTTATAAAGAAATTTTGATAAAATCTTAACCAAATCGTCTTGATATGGTCATTAAAATAATAAACTTTGTACGTAACCAAATTTTCTATACTAATATAAGATAAAAATCACTACAATTTTAAATATATATAGTGACTATTCTTTAAATTTGCAATAAAATAAAATATATTATTTAGTATTAATTAAAGTTAAGTTTGCTCGCAATATCAAGACCGCTTCTTGATAGTACATGCATGTTTTTGGTTAAATTGTCCAAGTTTTTTACTTGGTCAATATTCTTGCCTTGCCAATGAATTTTAAACATTTCACGAATTAATTGCACTAATTTTTTTACTGCACCACACTTTTGAAGCTCTCTTTGATTGGTTCCACCAATAAACCTATTAAGAACATCTATTGTTACCTTTTTATTAATATAATCGTTAATATTTTCTTTTGTTAACGATGCTACACCTTGTCTAAAATTAAATAATACAAATATCAGACATGATATTAATTATAATATATACGTATATATTTAATATATATATACCTTTCTTGTATTTCTTTATAATTTTTAACATGACCCAATACTGATTGATTAAGTCTGTGCCAAAAATCACTTAACGTATTTTTTGTTTTAGTTCGAATCTCTGTTCCTTCTTTAGAATAGAGTGGATACCCAAATATTTTCTTAACAAATTCATCGATACATGTTGCTGAGGAAAATCTTGCTCTAAGAAAGAGACATTTTATTTCTTCATCCCATATACGTGCACTATTCTAAAAAAATTATTTTTATTTATTTATTTTATTATTTATATTCTTTTTTTAAAAAAGAAAATAGAATTTAAAATAAATCTTACTCTATTATTATTTATGTTTGACGAAATTGCAGATAAAGGCATTTACGATTCATTAAAAGTTCTAACATTTTCTATTAATGATGAGGATGCCATATACATTTGGTTGGCTAATTGCAATATAGATGGATGTTTTACCAGCCAATTGCATATTTCTAAAATATTATTCATCTCATTAAATTCTGCTGGAATTTGACTAGCTTCATGTTCTCGTAGTTTTCCTTTAGATTTTTTTTTTATAAATATTAACGAATTAAAATTTAATAAGATTAGATTATATATTAAAAATTAGATAACAAATCCAAGCTTAATAGACAAATACCCGATATACCTGATTGAACCTCTCTATCATATTCATTACTTGAAATTGCTGTTGATAAGTTGGCTTATTTTAATATATAGTATAATAATAACAAATTAAAAATTAATAATAATATAACGATAATTTCTA